CCTATGTTCGCTCACAAAATTGGGCCACAAAAAACAACAAAACCAACGACAACTATGTTAATGCTAACACCCAATGGGAATTAATAAATTAAGTATGGGCGATAAGGCAAAATCAAAATAGAAGCAACGATACAGAAAAAGAGAGAATAGATGAACATTAGGCAAATTAAAGTACAAATAGTTTATAAAGTGAGTAACAGTGAAACAAAAGCAAAATTAATATGAATCAACAATGAAAGGCAGAAATTAACGAAATTAATCGAGATATTTTTAGATTTTATTCAATTAAGTTTACATTTTTTAGAGCTTAGTTTGTCTGCTAACATTAAAAAGAAAACAGATTAATCAAACAAGACTACTATTCGGTAAATCAAAAAAAAAAACTGGATATTTTCATTGAAATGGGACATTTTTCACTATAAATAGAAATACTCGAATAAAACCACAACTACTGATAAGAACAATGAACACAAAATTTGTGGTCAAAAAACTTAGCTGATAACCAAACACAAACCCTTTGTAGATTATTTCTGGTGAAATAAATACAATTCACAAGAAAATATTTATTAATGGAGAAAAAAATAAAGCAAATTCTGTAGATTATTTCAGTCAAAAAGTTCTCGCCTTAATATAGTTAATCAAACAAAATAATTTCAAAGATTTCATGATTTTCTTTAATTGAATTACAAATTAATTTGAAGAATAATGAATTTTAATAAAAATAATCACCTTATTTAATACCATTAATGCTGATATTAATCGCAATTCAAAACTGTCTTCCATTATCGAGCATTTCCCTCAAACACCCCCTCCCCCGTCAAGCCATTAAAATGGGTTAATCAAGTGCTTTTTATTGCAGCGCTAAATTCATTTCCCCCTTTTTAGATAATGTTTATATTTAAATTGCCAACAATTTTCAATAGCCTAAATTTGAAGCCAACAACAACGTTATTTTGTTCATTCATTTTTGTAGCAGAGCAGATGTTGTTGCGCTCTCTCTTCGGCTCTCTCTCTCGTGCAGCTTCGTTTCCTCTTCGGCTCGTCGTTCGTGTCTAAAAATAAAACAGCATGTGCGCTGTGTGTGAGTGTGTGCTCGCTCATTCGCCACTGCTGCTGCTGTTGTCGTTGTTGTTGTTGTATTTTTTGTCTGTGGGCAAAAGGCAATGAAAACGAAAATTTGCGTGACGTCTCTCGACCTTGACTCATCGAATTGAACTGTTAAACTGCGCCAGCAGAAGCGGCAAAGCGGAGCGCTGGCAGCGCTGCACAGTGGTCGGTGTTTTATGGGGAAGGTGGCCAAAAGAGCCTTAAGATAAAATATTGAGCTGATTTTGTGTTAACTATGTTGTTATGTTTTTTAATGTAATAATAAGATGTATAATGGTAACAGCACTATAGTATAGTATTTAAAAATTAAAATAAAAACGAATTTAAAAATGCATTAGAAATCAAGTAAAAGGCTTGTGTTGGCTTCTAGGCTTGCAACCCATTCGGACACGAACCGATTTAGCCACTTTTCTTTGGCTTGCATTTTTCATATTCACCTTAAATTTTACATACCACTGTGCGCTGCCGGCGGTGCAGTCGAGCCGAGTTGCGGTTCGATGTGTTTTGGCTGGGCTTTTTTGTGTTTTATTCAGACTTTTTTCTCTGCTGTTTTGTACTGCTTTTTCTTTTGTTTTTCTTTGGCTTGAAGTCAACGTCTCTTGCGGGACAGCAGCAAACCAGTTTGAAAAACACACACACTTACACTACCACTGCCTTATCAACAATATTGCCAAAAAAAAATGTTGGAAAAAAACTGGTTCGGTTAGCTTCTTTTTTTGTTTTAACTGCAACTAGGCAGTGAAGCTTCTTAGGCTTATTTCGGGACAACAAAATAGTACAACCCAGGACAAGTCCAACTTCCTCAATTGAATAATTAGTGCACCCTGTATAAAAATAAAGATCTATATAAATTCAATTTTCTTTCGAGGACACAAAAATCGTATTAGTCTTAAAGCTACTTTAAGAGTGCTCTTTATTCTAGCAATCTTTTTAGATCAATGCAGATATTTTAAGAACTGTTTTCAAAAATTATTAATTCCCCAAGAGCTAAACACTACCAAATAAGAAATTGTAATGTTATGTGGGTACAATCTCCAACTGATAACACAAATAATAGTAACAAAAAAAGCTTCAGATTGAGCATTGTTGCAAAAGAATAGATTGTTATATGGAATGCCCACTGTAAATTACAGAACAATGATAGAAAAAAGCGTACAACAGTTTTTTCAAGCACTATTGGAATGTGTCTCCATAATCATCTCCGTCTCCTGGTTCTCTGGCTCTCTCCCTTCCTATCGCTTTCTCTCTTTCCGCTCTGAGATTTTCTCTCAATAAGAAATGCATATGCGTAATGCATGTGAGTTCCGTTGGTTTTTAGTGCCACACCCACACAACGCCCAACCACCCACTTGCGTCTCTCTTCCGTTCTCCTTCCCTTCGGCCTCCTTTCTTTTCCCTTTGTCATCCTTCCAGACCCCTATTCCTCTATCCCCTAGTTATGTTGTACACCGAGAGAAAAATGTTCATGATTATAGCTACGAATAATAAAATTTAAAGTTGAAAATGTCTAAATTAAGTTTAAATTCATTTTGCCTAAATCGATTGGCATTGGTAACAGTATTAATTTAAATAAATAACATCTTAAGCAAAAAATCGGAATCCACAAATTAGCATATAATCAAATTAGTAAACAAAGTTTACATGTTTTGTCTGCCCATTTCAAATTGATATTCAAAATTTAATTGTTTTTAATTTGTCCAACAATTTTTTTCTTTGTGCCTTTCCATTCCATCTCGGTCCGCATTTTCATTCCACATTTGCTCCTCTGCTCTTTTCGCATGCACCTCTGCTTCTCCCTTTCGCACTGCCCCTCTCTTCTCCCTTTCGCACTGCAGCAGCATAATCATCATCATAGATTTATCTCATTCACGCGCACGTGAGGCAAAGGCAAGGCCCAAAAATTAAGTCGTCGGTTTTCGCTTTGCGTTTTGCGCTTCTCCTTCTGCTCCCCATCCTCCTCCTCCTTCTTCTTCTTGGCCCCTCTTCCCCATCCCCATTCTCACCCCTCGTTATCATCAGCTCATTTTATTGTCTGGCCTTTCGTTCGTCTTGTTTGCTCTCCCTCCCTCTTTCGTCTCCGCCTTTCTCGCTTTCTTAGTTCCTCAGTGTTGCCAATTTCGTGTTTCGCTGGTCGTTACAATTTTCATGCTTTGGCCATGTTTGGCAACACTTTGCTTTGCTACAGCTTTTCTTTATGCTTCTGTTGCCACCTCTTCTTCTTTTCCTCCTCCCTCTTTCACTCCTTATGCATTCGGGAACACACGGCAACCATGCGACAGCTGTTGTCTAAAGACCAACGATTATTAAGAGGGGGAGGGGTAAGTAGATGAAAATTAAGGGGGCAAAACGGAAAAGGTAAAAGGTTACACATGTCAACAGTTAATTAGAAACAATCCATAAATACTAAAATATAAGTCTTTAAAAGTTTTTTAAAAATGTTAGCTAATTTTGAAACGGTTATTAAGGATTCCAAAATATTTGGAAAATTATTGTGTTACCAAGGAATACCATGCTAAGCGTATCAATATAAAACGTATTCTCTAGGGGAAATAAGGGAAACGTATTCTGTAGTTTTATTATAACAAATTGTTTTGCAGTTCCTATAGATATTGCGGAATTGTGAAATTCGTAATTCTTGTAAATCTATCTTCTTGTTTACGATTTTCGAAGCTGTAAACTTCCCCTTATACAAAATGTATTCTTTTGTCGTCGTACCTTCCGTATACCCAGGCACAGTATCCAATTTCTCTGTCCCAATGAAATTTCTGTTTACTCTACGAAGTTTACGAAATTTTTATGGGTATCAAAATGCACAAATATTTATGCTCTACGAATCGAACAAAGCACGTTCTATATTTACTTATTCCACTTTTGCCTTCACCCCCCTCAAAACACAATATTTCTATTCTGTGCTTTGTATTATTCTGCTAACCAATTAACTGCCCATTGGAACGCATTGCACTACTTTTTTTTGCCCATTCCACTCGAAATTAATTCCTTTGATATTTTGTGTTTCCATATAGAGTTGATTGCTTGGCTATTTTTATAGCTGTTTTCGTAGAACATTTTGCAAAATTGTTCAGTTTATATTTTGAAGTTAATAAATTGTGAGAGTACGTACATATGTATGTACAATCGTTCATATAAAGGAATTCCATTAATTGTATAACATTATATATTTACATACATATACAAAATGGGGTTTAATATATTTACAAATAATTAAAGTATATCCAAAAACTATACGTTGTTAAGAACGTGCACCGGTCAGCTGTAAAAATTAATCAATTTTTAAAAATTAACATTTGCAATTAAAAATCCTCCGAAGTTTAGCTATTAAGCTTGATTCTAGCTGCTTTATTTCTTATTCCAAAGGCTGAGGGCAGCACTGTTACCTTGTTGTTTTTGTTGCCTGTGTGTTTGTGGTGTTGTGGCAATGGCGCCCTCTGCCGGCGTCGTTGCTCGCGAATTGACAAAGACGCCGGCTGTCTCTCTCGCTCTCTTCCCGTCTGTTCTCTCTCCACTCTCTCCCCTCCCCCTTCCCCTTTTTTCGTTCACTCGGCGGGCAGCAGCTGCTTTCCGTTTTGGATTGGAAGTTCGGTGGAATGGAAGGCAGCAGCGAAAGAAGAAGAAGCTGCAACGCCGCGACGCTGGCAGCGCAGCTTGTGTTTGTAGTTGTAGTTGTAGTTGGCGGCGTGTGTAGTTTGCTTTCGCTGTTGTTTTTAAACGAACGCGCGCGCGGAAGTTGCGCACAAAATTATTTATCAACCAAAAAGACAAAAAAAACGAGAACGAGAAAACTAAAACCTCAAATAAAGTGTAAAGAGAGGAAGGCCCGAGAAGAAGCAATCGGATTAATTTCTAGTGTACTCTACCGTTTTTCGCTTCGGCTCTTTTTTTTTGGTTTTTGCAAAAATGAGCGAATAGTTACACTCGCTCTTCTGCTCGCTCTTCCTCTCGCCGCTCATGTGCTTCTTCTTCCTCCTTGCTTGCTAACTCTCTTCTTTCTTTCGCTCCGCTCGTTACCATTTTACAAACACACACGCGAACGATGAGAGCGACTGCAAAAAAATCGGAATAAACAGTTATAATATATATGTGTACAAATAAACGATATATATATATTTCTATGTAAATAATAATATAAATGGGAAAGCATCAAGGCAAATGTGAAAAATAGTGCAAACTAAACTAAAACGCAAGAAAAAAAAACGGAAAACCAAATGTGATAATATTGTAATAGAATGTGAAAAGCCAAACACGCACACACCCATACACACATACACACACGCGCACGCAGCCACGTATGTGTGTGCAGAAAAATATGCGGCGCTTAAAAAAGGTGAACGGCATTTTGTGGCCATAAAATTGTGCTTTTTAACAAATTCAAGTTTAATATCCCAATAAAATGAAAGTTTTGATTCATTTAAAAAATACAAGAGCAAAGAAAATCGCTATAAAGGAGCCGTAGCCATTTTCATTTCTAGTAAAATTTTTCAACATTTTTTTTTTCATTGTCTTTACGCTTTGCTTTTTGATAAAACATTACACACACACATGCCACTGCATTCTCGCTCTCTGTCGCTGTTGCTGCCTCCCTCGCACTCGCGTTCTCTTGCACACGCAAACGCATGCCGCTGCCGCTTTGTTTTCGTCTCGCTCGCTCCCGCGCACATATTTTGCACATTCTCCTTTGGTGCCTCTTTTGTTGCCACCGCCCCCGGGGTTGCCACTTAGTCGCGATGTCCAAATGCCGCGCATGTGGCAGCACTCTCTCGCCCAAGTAAAAGAGAAGCGCAAAAGGAAATGCAAAACGAAAGAAGCTGCGGAGCAAAACAAAAGCGGCGTCAGTGTTGCAAAGTGCATAAAGCGGTCAGTGTGAGTGAGAATGGGAGGACGGGAGAGAAAAAGAGTGAATTATTAAAAAATAAAAATAAAGTAAAATAAAATACCCAATAAGGCAAAAAATAAACAATAGAAAAGTTTAAAGTGTAATAACTTATTATTTAATGTTGGTCAAAAGTTTTGTATAATCGTCTTAAAAAATAAATATTTAATGAATGGGCGTCATGAGTATAAATTGTTGCAAACATTAACGAAATACCTTAACATGTAAATGTTTAAAAGAATTGTGTTGAGATGAAATCTTGAAAACTTAATTTATATAGGAGCTTTTAAAATTTTGGAAACAGATGACTAAGTACTTTCTTAAAGTAATAGTTCTATTAATTGCAGACATCCTACGCCCAATAAGTCCCAAAATTATATAAACATATTTTTAATCTAGTTAATTTCATCTAGATCCTATCAAAAAAAAAAAACTTTACCGGAGCATAGAATGCTTTTTTTTTAATATTACAAATCAAAGTAGAATATAATTTTAAGTCTGTTGTTATGTAAAATTTTGATAGTCAATCCAAAAATATAAATACTAATCCTTGTACTGTTCTTTTCAATGCCAATTGCAGATGTCCGCCGGCGCTCAGTTGCAGATGGCCCCGCAGACCACTTCGGCCCTAAGTCACCACCATCCCAATCAGCAGCAGCAGTTGCAACCGCCGCAGCAGCCGCAGCAACCACAGCCCCCGCCCCCGCAACAGCAGCAGCAGCACTTTGCCAACCATCACAGCGCCCAGCAACAGACGCAGCAGCAGCAACAGGAGCAACAGAATCCCCAGCAGCAACAGCAGCAGCAGGCGCAACAGCAGATACTCCCGCAGCAACATCTGCAGCACCTGCACAAGCATCCGCATCAGCTGCAACTGCATCAGCAGCAGCAGCAACTCCACCAGCAGCAGCAACACTTCCACCAGCAACAGCAACAATCGCTGCAGGGGCTGCATCAGGGCAGCAGCAACCCGGATTCGAATATGAGCACTGGCTCCTCGCACAGCGAGAAGGATGTCAACGATATGCTGAGCGGTGGAGCTACGCCAGGAGCTGCAGCAGCAGCGGCAGCAGCCATCCAACAGCAACAGCAGCAACATCCCGCCTTTGCGCCCGCCCTGGGAATGCAACAGCCACCGCCGCCGCCGCCACAGCACTCCAATAATGGGGGCGAGATGGCCTACTTGACGGCGGGCACGACCACGACGGCATCGGTGACGGCAGTGGGCAAACCCCGGACGCCAGCGGAGCGGAAACGGAAGCGAAAAATGCCGCACTCTAGTGCGGATGAGGCGGGGAGTGGCGGTGGTTCCGGCGGAGCAGGAGCAACCGTGGTCAACAACAGCAGCCTGAAGGGCAAATCCCTGGCCTTTCGTGATATGCCCAAGGTGAACATGAGCCTGAATCTTGGCGATCGTCTGGGCGGATCGGCCGGCAGTGGCGGCGGAGCCGGTGGCGCCGGCAGCGGAGGAAGTGGTGCCGGTTCTGGTTCCGGAAGTGGCGGCGGCAAGAGTGCTCGCATCATGTTGCCCGTCAGCGACAACAAGAAGATCAACGACTACTTCAATAAGCAGACGGGCGTGGGCGTTGGAGTGCCAGGCGGTGCGGGAGGCAACACCGCCGGTCTCCGAGGATCGCACACGGGTGGCGGTAGCAAGTCACCCTCATCCGCCCAGCAGCAGCAACAGCAGCAGCAGACGGCCCAGCAGCAGCAGGCGAGCGGTGTTGCGACGGGCGGCGGTGCCGGAGGAGCCGCTGGCAACCAGGTGCAAGTGCAGACGAGCAGCGCCTACGCTTTGTATCCACCAGCTAGTCCCCAAACACAGACGCCGCAGCAACAGCAGCAGCAGCAGCCGCCGGGAGCCGATTTCCACTATGTCAACTCCAGCAAGGCGCAACAGCAGCAGCAGCAGCAGCGCCAACAGCAACAGACTTCCAATCAAATGGTTCCTCCACACGTGGTCGTCGGCCTGGGCGGTCATCCCCTGAGCCTTGCGTCCATCCAGCAGCAGCAGACGCCCCTGTCCCAGCAGCAACAGCAGCAGCAACAACAGCAGCAGCAACAGCAGCAATTGGGACCACCAACAACATCGACGGCCTCTGTAGTGCCCACGCATCCGCATCAACTCGGCTCCCTGGGAGTCGTTGGCATGGTCGGTGTGGGCGTCGGCGTGGGCGTTGGTGTAAATGTGGGCGTGGGACCTCCACTGCCACCGCCACCGCCGATGGCAATGCCGGCGGCCATCATAACATACAGTAAGGCTACCCAAACGGAGGTCTCGCTGCACGAGCTGCAGGAACGCGAGGCTGAACACGAATCGGGCAAGGTGAAGCTGGACGAGATGACGCGACTGTCGGATGAGCAAAAGTGCCAGATTGTTGGCAACCAGAAGACGATCGATCAGCACAAGTCGCACATTGCCAAGTGCATTGATGTGGTCAAGAAGCTGCTGAAGGAGAAGAGCAGCATCGAGAAGAAGGAGGCGCGACAGAAGTGCATGCAGAATCGCCTGAGACTCGGACAGTTTGTCACCCAGCGAGTGGGCGCCACATTCCAGGTGAGAGGCTTGATGAAATAGGAGGTGGTAGCCCCACTGCACTTTCTTCTTAAGGTCAATGTAATTACCTTTGTTTAACGCCACTTTATTTTACTCAATTTACAGGAGAACTGGACGGACGGCTATGCGTTCCAGGAGCTGAGCCGGCGACAGGAGGAGATAACCGCTGAGCGCGAAGAGATTGACCGGCAGAAGAAGCAGCTGATGAAGAAGCGTCCGGCGGAGTCCGGACGCAAGCGCAACAACAACAGCAACCAGAACAACCAGCAGCAGCAACAGCAGCAGCAACACCAACAGCAGCAGCAGCAGAATTCCAACTCGAACGATTCCTCGCAGCTGACGGGCGGCGTTGTCACCGGACCGGGCAGCGATCGCCTTGGCGGTGCAGCCGGTGGCGTTAGCGTCGACAGCGGACTGGGTGGCAACAATGCGGGCGCCATCGGTGGCGGTGCTGTTGGTGGTGGCGTCGGAGGCGGCGGCGTTGGAAGCGGCGGCGTTGGCGGTGTCGGAGGCGGCGGCGGAGGACGTGGTCTATCGCGCAGCAACTCGACGCAAGCCAATCAGGCTCAATTGCTGCACAATGGCGGCGGCGGATCGGGTGGCAATGTTGGCAACTCGGGCGGCGTTGGCGATCGACTGTCGGATCGAGGAGGAGGCGGCGGCCTTGGTGGCAACGACAGCGGTAGCTGCTCGGACTCGGGCACGTTCCTCAAGCCAGATCCCGTGTCGGGAGCATATACTGCGCAGGAGTACTACGAGTACGATGAGATACTCAAGCTGCGCCAGAATGCCCTCAAGAAGGAGGACGCCGACCTGCAGTTGGAGATGGAGAAGCTGGAGCGGGAGCGCAATCTGCACATCCGAGAGCTCAAGCGGATACTCAACGAGGATCAGGTGGGGCTTCGATTCCGCATGGAATATAATACTAATCCCATTTGTATAACACTTGTACTTATTGTTGGTTTATCCTACCATCTTTTCAGTCCCGCTTCAACAACCATCCCGTGCTGAACGATCGCTATCTTCTGCTGATGCTGCTGGGCAAGGGCGGCTTCTCAGAGGTACACAAGGCCTTCGACCTCAAGGAGCAACGCTATGTCGCATGTAAGGTGCACCAATTAAACAAGGATTGGAAGGAGGATAAGAAAGCTAATTATATCAAGTGAGTAGTAAAACAGAGGAGCAGGAAAAGTCAAGGGCGGGGGGAATGCCAATTGATTAGAGAATAAGGTTATAGATTTTGCACAGATCAAGTTAGCAGTTGTCGAACTATAAATATATGCTAATACCTTTCAGATCAGAATAAATGAAAAAGAATAGCATTTATTTGCAAGACCTCAATACTAATACCTTTTTACCATAAAGTAGATGAATATCTTTGGGCTAAACTAAAAGAAGGCAACAAGATTAGCTTACAATTACAAAGGGCGGGTCGCTATTATTGAAAACAATTTACTAAAGTCTCATCTCGTTCGAAACCCTCGCTAATTACCCAACAATTCAGACACGCTTTGCGGGAATACAACATCCACAAGGCGTTGGATCATCCGCGGGTCGTCAAGCTCTACGACGTCTTCGAGATCGATGCGAATTCCTTTTGCACAGTGCTCGAATACTGTGATGGCCACGATCTGGACTTCTATTTGAAGCAACATAAGACTATACCCGAGCGTGAAGCGCGCTCGATAATAATGCAGGTTAGTTATACTTACTCATAACTAGGATTTCAACTTGTAATCTCTAACTGAATTTCTCTGCCCTCAGGTTGTATCTGCACTCAAGTATCTAAATGAGATTAAGCCTCCAGTTATCCACTACGATCTGAAGCCGGGCAACATTCTGCTCACCGAGGGCAATGTCTGCGGCGAGATCAAGATCACCGACTTTGGTCTGTCAAAGGTGATGGACGACGAGAACTACAATCCCGATCACGGAATGGATCTGACCTCCCAGGGAGCAGGCACCTATTGGTGGGTATAACGTTTCCATAGAGACTATAAAAACGTTACTAGGTTTTTAAAACTAAATGAGTATTGTTCTATTTTCAACCCCTTTAGGTATCTGCCACCCGAGTGCTTTGTGGTAGGAAAGAATCCGCCGAAGATCTCCTCCAAAGTGGACGTGTGGAGTGTGGGCGTGATCTTCTACCAGTGTCTGTATGGCAAGAAGCCCTTCGGTCACAACCAGTCGCAGGCCACGATCCTCGAGGAGAACACGATCCTGAAGGCCACCGAAGTACAGTTCTCCAACAAGCCAACCGTTTCCAATGAGGCCAAGGTGGGTTGTCTTGGACATTTTTAAACACAAAGGAATAGATTGCTAATCCAGATCCATATTTGTATCTTTCTATAGAGCTTCATTCGGGGCTGTTTGGCATATCGCAAGGAGGATCGCATGGATGTGTTCGCGCTGGCCAGGCACGAGTACATCCAGCCGCCGATACCGAAGCACGGGCGAGGCTCGCTCAACCAGCAGCAGCAGGCGCAACAGCAGCAGCAGCAGCAACAGCAACAGCAGCAGCAACAGTCGTCGACGTCGCAGGCCAATTCCACCGGCCAGACTTCGTTCTCTGCCCACATGTTTGGCAATATGAATCAGTCGAGTTCGTCCTAGCTGCCAACCAAGCGTAATTCCAACTCATAATTCGCCGCCGCCGCAGTAGCAGCAGCAACTTTAGCTGCCAGCCAACAGCAACTCCAACAGCAACAGCAGCAACAACTTCAACTACAGCAATACCAGCAGAATCAGCAACTCCATTTGCAAAACAGTAGCAGCAACTATGCGGCCACGCTTCTCGATGCAGCGGCCTTTTGCTACGAAACTGTGATGGATGCAGCCCACTTCCACAACAATAACAACAACAGCACCATCATTAACAACAATATGCAGACAATGCCGGCGAATGCTATCAATGCTGCTGCTGCAGGAGGAGGAGGAGGAGCAGGAGGCGGAGGAGGAACACCGGCCTATCAAGGGAAATACAAGCGCTGGCAGCAGCAACAGTTGCAACAGCAGGCCCAACTGCAACAGCAGCAACACAAGTTGCTGTTGCAACAAGAGCTGCTGTAGAGTTAGAACGAAAAGTGGTGTGCTGATGTTTTAAGAGGGAACGCGATGACAAGGGAGTTAAGAGAGAACGAGGAGCTGCCTGCAACACTGCCGCCAAGCCAAGCTAATGTTGCTGCTGCAACGGCAACACCATCAGCAACAAAAACAACCAGCAACAACACCCCAAGAATTTCCACAGCGAGTCGCAAACAACAACAAAAACTTAAATTAATGAAACTATATATAAATATATATATGCATATATATATTAAATGTGATAAACAAGCGTAAAGCAAAAAAAAAAAAGAAAACAAGAAAGGAAGAAAGCAGCAAATACAGCAGGAGAAAGACGAACAACCAAGGGGGCGAAAACCCTGAAGATAGGGAAAAAGCAAAGCTGCAGTAAGAAACCAGAAGAAAAGAGCACAGAAGAATGTTAGAGCAGAAGAAAAGCAGAAAGTTGAAAGCTAAAAAGAATTGCCGAGGAGAGAAAGCTTGAGAAATTGTTTATAAAGGCTGCTATAAACACACACTTTTTTTTTGTTAACTATAAATACCAAGCAGAATAATTAATCTAAAATACATAATAATTAAATGCTAAATGTAAATTAGTAAGTAGGGTGGCATCTAAAAGCAAAGGAAAACCGCAAAAAAAAAAAACGATTCCCAAGAACGCGTAAGAAAAGGCACATAATATTTTTTCTTTGTATTAAAACATAATAATGGTACCATAAAGAAAACGTAGCAAATTAGCGTAGGCTAAATAGCACAGTATAAAAAACTGAAACCTAAAAAAAAACAGAAACACAGGAAGGATTATAAAGACGCAAAGCTGAGAAACCATTTGCAATGGGAAATTGTTGCATTGTTTTTTTTTTGGGTTATGTTTGTTTGAAGTTCAAACATTAAAATAACACTCATACACACACACAACACAGCACACAGACACTGCAGACTATTTTTGCCTTACAAGGAAAGAAAAAACACTAATTTTAATTGCCAATTTCCATTTTGTATACATGCATATTTAATATTATGTATTCACGTATATACACACATATATTTATCATTTCCTACCCACGAATGTTTCTTTTTATTTTTTTTTATTGTATGCGCCTACGATTATTAAATTTTAACGCTTTTAAACGAAGTTAAAACCAACTTATAACTATATCCAAACTTTGAAAAGAAATCATTATTTGTTTGTTTTGTATCAAAATCCAAAAGAAATTCGATTTAAAAATAAAAGAGTTCCATAAATCATACACACCGCACACACATATACATTTGTATATACTCGTATCTGAACAACAAACAAAAAACCGAAGAGATAAAAACTAAAAGCTTAATCAAATCAAATGCAATTCCAAAATATCCAAGAAAAAAAGAATCAGATAACCATTTTTTTTTATATGCCACAAGGAAAATGCAAAGAAAATGAGAATAAGCGAGAAAAATCGAAGGAAGGAAAAGCTTGAGATCGGTCGGATTCTCAGATCGGATCAGAAAAAACAACAGAAAAATAAGCCCATTTGAAGTAATTTACTTCTAATTACATAGTAAACTAATGTAATAGTTTTTATTAAAAAATATATATATATGTATTGATATATATATAGATACATGTTTTTTTTTTTAATTTTAAAACTATATTTGTAATGCACTATGCGTAACATTGTATTAAATATTAATATCCAAGGCATATTAATAGAAATATATATATAAACTATACAAAAACTGCAAAAAAACATGAACTACCAACCTAAATGTTTCAATAATATATAGATCTATATGTATGTAAAACCGATATGAAATCTGCCTAATGCCAGACAAAAAAAAACCTACAAGTGAAAGTTGAAAGCTCCGAAGAGTAAAAGAGATAGAAAGAGCGGGGAAATAAGGACGCAAGATTCTTGAAAAAGCGGAAAACATTTTTTTCTTTAGTCTATACAAAGCAAAAAGCATAAAAAATAAACCGAAATTAGTTTTTAGAGTGACAAAACATGAAAACGGCAAAGCGCGCGCGAAAGAGATGAAAAATGGGCGCTAAAAAAGGACGGCAAGCAGAACAAGAAGAAAAAAAAAAGCAGCGGCAACAACTCCCTAAAAATAGCAAAGAAAATTGTAAATATTTATATAAATAATTTATGCCTAATTAAAATTAAAATTAAAGAAAATCGTAAAAAAACAAAAGAAACATAAAAACCAGAAGAACCATTTCAGATTTGTATGCAAATTTGTATATGTACGTACTTTCCTTTAATTTTAGCCAATCAGTTTGTAAGAACTTTTTTTTGCATCTCTATAAAGAATAACGATATATGAGGATAATGATTCCGATTTTTTTCCGTTTAATGTAAACCGTTAGGATAAGCCCATACCATAACGGCCGATATCTAAATGTGTGTGTATATCGATGTGATGTCATCGATTGTCGATAACGATTGGATGCGAGCGTGTGTTGATTTAATTTGATAAAGATAAAGGAAATGTAAGAGGAGTGAAGATAAAGAGAGAAGATACATGAAGTATGAGAGAGAATCTATCTATAATATAATTATGTAAAATGCACATCTTTAAATTATAACTTATACATATTTAAAATGAAACTATTATTATTATTTTGATTACCATTATCATTATTTTTTATTACCACTTAACGGTTTCGGTTCGATCCACAGCGAAACCAGCAACAACAACCAAGAAACAGAAACAACAACAAGAGAAACAAAATAAACAAGCGAAATGTTTGATAAAAAAAAACCCACAAAGAGATGTTTTTATTTATTTTGCGTCTTTGATTCAATTTTATTGAGTTTTTCATAGAGGAAAGTTGCCACACTCAAGACAAACACACACACGCAAGCGTATAAAGCTAAACAAATTAATACCTATTAAGTGTTTAAATAGTACTAAACGAATCAAAATATAAATACTTAAAAAGAAAAAAATAAACAAAAAATTAACAAAAAAAAAAACAGCAGCAGCAGCATGAAAAACGATGAGACACGGAGGAAAAGCGAGAAAAACAAAACCCATTAAATTATTTGTTGAGTATTTTATTAAATAATAATTACGATAATAATTATAAAATTTAAATTGAACGAAATGCGAAAAACAAAAAAAAAACTGAATATACATATATATATATATATTATATATAAACAAATTATTTAATAGTTATGCTAAAAAATTATTTAAAGTGAAAGGATATAAAAAATATTTGCATGCGAGCGAGCAAGAAAGGCATTCAGAAAAGGCCACCGCCACCGCCCTTACCGAAGCCCGAACCCCACCCCCAATTTTTCCCATTTTCCACCCCTTAAAGCCTTCAACCGCCCACCCAACATCCTCCCCTCAATGAAAAGGCGGAGAAAGCTGAAAAAATGAAGCAAAGACGAAAAACGGGGGCGGCTAACTGAGAGGAAAAAGCGCGAAGAAGATACTAAATCAATAAGTAAACATAAAGATTAATTAATAAATTAATTCCAAAACAAAAACGAAAAAAGCTAAAAAATAAAAACAAAACAACAACAAAACAAAAGACAAAAAGCAGACAAAAAAGAAAAAACAAAACGAAACATTGAAAATAAAAAAATACTAAAATGATTAAAACAAAACGGTTTTCAATGGTAATGGGGTACGATTAGTAAACTAGTTTCCAGCTTTAGGTAAGTTGTGTTATTGACAGGTGAAATAAATGTATTTAACTTTATTTAACCAAGTTGGTATCGGTTAAAGACGGTGTATGGTGACCCCAGTCCAGTACACAGTGGATTTTTATACTTTGTACGTTATAAATACCATATTTAAAGAGACGGTATATTTTTTGTTTGTTTTGAAAACTTCTAACACTTTCCAACACTTTTTATTTAAATACTAAAAAATAAATCTGAGAAAAATACGGAAAATACTTTTCGGTACTCTTTATTGATGACAACTATCGCGCAACTATCGATAACGGCTAGTTGTCTGAATTATCGATTTCTAGAAATTTCATGCCTAATCAATAGGGCAAAAAAGCAAAGCAAAAAAGCAAAAGCAATAGCAATAGGCCACCAGACCAGAACATTCATATATATCGAGATATAGAAATGGCGGCGCCGATGCAACACGAGGATCTGCTGAAGCTGAAGAGCTTCATCGAGTTTGTGGACTCGAATCCCACGGTATTGAACTTGCCGCAGCTGCAGTTCGTCAAAGATTTTGTGGAGAAGTTCGGGGGCACGGTACCGGCTGGTGATTTCAAGATGCCCGACGCCTCTGCCGGAGGGTAAGTTTCCCCCCAGAAATTGCAGATGCTCTGAACTCTATATGTGCATATCGGCCATACCATAGTGTAACACCATTTTTCAACGCTTTTTCTTTGGATTTTCTATCGCAGCAAGTGCCCCTTTGGTGGCGATGCTGGTGCAAAGGCCAAAAAGCCGGCTACTGGGGCCGCCGATTCCGCGGATACTAACGCCTCCGAAGATAGCGAAGATGAGGAGTCCCTTTCCGAACCCGAATCGGACGTGGAGCTGGACATGGAGGGTGAGTGTGCGAATCGGTGCCGGAATAGGGGGTTTGCCAATTGTCAATTTCTGCCGAGTCACGTGGTCATTAAGGGGTCGCCACCCTGGGGTCCGATGTGTTACTCAGAGTTACGATTATTCCGCCGTGTGGTTGGCAACCCTCGGAATCGAATTTTATAGAATATACATATACCATTATGTTATTCTTAACTTAGCTTTAATTAAATTAAAAGCTTGATATACGGTGCACTACTGCTTCTACTATCTATATTGCAGTTTTCATAACTTACAAGTAACACTTAATATCAAGCCTGCAATCTATAAATATGGGACCTTCTGTTTTCGATACAGTGAATCAATATAACCGATATAACTTTTCTAACTCGAACCAAATTAGGCGACTAACTTAAATTTGTAATAGGATTTATAGGGTACATATAGATGCTTGCTCCCTTCGTTAAAACAAATGTTGTGTATATTCATTTATTTATTTCCTATCAACCTAAACAAAATTGCCGTCCTGTTCAAACTAGAAGTAAAGTTATAAAATAATTGCAAAAATACAAAAAAATTTATTATTTTAACAACTATTTTTTTTATTTATCAATAAAAATCCATTTTCATTTCACCAAAATAAGTAAGAAACTAGGATTTATTTTAAATATAAGAATACAAAGTTTGTTTTTAATACATATCCATACTTTATTTGTTCATATAAAGCCATTTCGTAAAGATTACGTTATAAATAAGTAAACAACTAGGATTTGTAATAGGAATATAACAAAGCAACATAAATAGGTATGGTTACTATTTATTGTATTCAAGCATTTAAAACCACTTAATAAGTATAAAACCAAACAAGCCATAAACTAGGATTTTTAAAATAGTAAATATCGTATATACAATGGTTATAAAGAAGAAAGAAACTCAAAGCAAAAGTGGTTAAGATTCCGATTAATAATCATTTCTTCCCCTATTTGTAGGTGTCATCGAGGCGGACAGCGATCCCGCCCAGCCGATGGGCGACTCCGCCAAGGAGCCCACCGAGGAGGAGGTGGACCAGGCGGGCGATTTGCGTGCCCAGGCAGCCTCCGCCTACGGCCAGCAGAAGTTTGACGAGGCCATCGCCTTCTACACCAAGGCCATCGAACTGAATCCGGGCAATGCCCTGTTCCACGCCAAGCGTGGCCAGGCCTTCCTCAAGCTGAAGAAGCCCAATGCCTGCATACGCGACTGCGACAAGGCGCTTGAGCTCAACTGCGATTCGGCGGCTGCTTACAAGTTCAGGGGACGTGCCCGTCGCCTGCTCGGTGACTTCGAACTGGCTGCCAAGGATCTGAGGCAGGCCTGCAAGCTGGACTTTGACGAGGAGACGGACGAGTGGCTCAAGGAGGTAACCCCGAATGCCAAGAAGATCGAGCAGCATCGCGTGAAGCAGGAGCGTCGCCAGGCCGAGCGAAAGATCAAGGAACGTCAGCGGGCCCAGAGGCGCGCCCGCAAGGAGCAGGCCAAGCAGAGCGCCAGCTCCGGTGGTGGTGGATCAGCCGGAGGATTTCCTGGAGGATTCCCGGGCGGCTTCCCCGGTGGCTTCCCAGGCGGATTTCCCGGCGCAGCAGGCGGCGGTGGTGGCATGCCCGGCATGCCCGGCGGCGTAGACATGGCCGATCTGATGGGTGCCATGAAGGATCCCGAGGTGGCAGCCGCCATGCAGGTACGATTTTTTTAAATTATAAGTATAGTTAAAAATTTCTCTAATTTTATGTATTTCTGCAAGCAAAACTGTAAAGTTAAGCTATTGCTTAACATATTTATATATATTTTTAAATTTTATTTAAATATTTATGATAATTATTTCCATAGGACATTCTCGGCAACCCGGCCAACATCTCGAAGTACGTATCAAATCCTAAGATCTTCAACCTGATCAAGAAGTTCGTGCCCGGCGGAGATTTGGGAGCTGCTTTTGCTCAAGCGGAGGAAAAATCCGGAGAGCCGAGCGAGCCAAAAACTAAGAAGGGCTCCGCCGATTTCGTGGACGATGGTTTGGACTAAGGATTGGGGATCGGGAATTAATAAGAATGACACATGCGGCGATGAAAATAAGTTAACAAGTCATACACACGAAATAGAGCGAGATGAAAAAGCGGCAAAGAGAGACAGAGAAGAAGATGGAGAAGGGATAAGGAAAACACTAGGAAAAACAAGAAAAGCTGCTGCCTTACACATTTCCCAGCTCAGAAATAACTTGAACATTTCGCTAAGCTTTATCTTAACATTAACTCAAACATTAAAGAGAGGTCAGCAAAGCAGAAATACAAATAATTATATATATATAAAAAGAAATACCACAAACAGTCGAAAGGATAAGTTTTATTCCAAAAGGCAGATGATTGTGTAAGAAACTAGAGTAGAAGGAAGTGAAGCTGCTTCTTCAGACATTTTCCAAAAGCTAGTTGAAAAGCTATTTCCAATTTTCACATTAAAAAAGGTTTAACTTATGCCTACGCTATTGTCAGTTCACCAGATCATAAAGTATCCTGTAAAGAAAAGAAATGCGAATGTTTCCTTACTAACGTTTAAAAGTCAAGTCATATTCAAGTCTGTCGATCGATCTAGTTGAACTAAAGCTCGATAAGAAACCAAAACAAATGAAAAATATTAAATAATATTAGCCTTAATTAACGATACTCGAAGACATCAGAATAACAGACCGAAAAACGGAGAAAAATACTAATCACACCATTTTGTCAAACAAAATTGTACTGAGTAGGATTTGAATAATATTGTACTAAGCAATTGCATTTAACCACCCGAAATGAAATCACTCGCCCACTCATATTCATCCACACATATATTCACATGCCGATATGTCAAACATTCATTCAACCAGTGATCAATGGAATTAAATAAACGAGAATCCGAAGTGCTAATGTGTCTCTTTTGTGTTTGATCATTAAACTTTAATGTTTTGACTGGGAAAATTAAACAAAGTAAATGTTTCGGGCTTTAATGGCATCCGACTGGGTTAAGTTTCCATATTTTGACCCATTGTTTATCTACCTAATTGTCGTAAATGGGGATCAGGAGGGTCCCACTGCTTAACTTCAATTTTTTGTTTGACCAATATCCTAAGCTATAATTTCAAACCACTTTCCACTTTAGCGGTTTTTCAATCGGCTTACATCTTAAAGACATACCGCTTTGAGCAGTTTTGTACATATGCTAACGATCCCCATCTTTAAGGGGAAAATATTTGTTGATAAATTTTCGCATTTTTCTTAGGGGTTATTTTTTTGCAATGCTAAATACTCATAATTTCCAGGTTTAATGTTAACAGATTGGAAATTAAACTATGAGCTTAGCCAGGTATGACATTTCTTATTGTGACGTTTATTTTTATTATAAAAAACTCATTTTTCATGGCGGAAAAATGGGATTCAGATTTTAGTCAAAATTACGATTTTTCTTTCCAAGTTATAAGTCGTACTTTAGCCAAATTAAGGCGTACAGCTAAAAGACCGACTGTTTTGAGCAGCTTGCTACAAATGCTATCGATCCCCATCACTTTAGAAAATATTTATTTTTTGACCCATTTTCGCATTTTTTATAAGGTGCATCGGCTTTTTTTGGGATTCAGATTTTGGTCAAAAATGCTAATTTTGCGTGGTTTTTCAGTCGTATTTTAGCCAAATCAAGGCGTACACCTAAAGGTCCGACATTTTTGAGCAGCTTGCTTCAATTGCTATCGATCCCCATCATTTTAAGAAAGATTTATTTTTTGACAAATTTTTTCATTTTTTGTAAGGGGGTGCTCGGTTATTTTTGAAATTCAGATTTTGGTCAAAAATGCTCATTTTTTAGTGGTTTTTCGGTCGTGGTTTAGCTAAATCAAGGCGTACACCTAAAAGACCGACAGTTTTGAGCAGCTTGCTTCAATTGCTATCGATCCCCATCACTTTAAGGAAGATTTATTTTTTGACAAATTTTTTCATTTTTTGTAAGGGGGTAGGTCGGATATTTTGGAAATTCAGTTTTTGGTCCAAAAATCTCATTTTTTAGTGGTTTTTCGGTCGTGGTTTAGCTAAATCAAGGCGTACACCTAAAAGACCGACAGTTTTGAGCAGCTTGCTTCAATTGCTATCGATCCCCATCACTTTAAGGAAGATTTATTTTTTGACAAATTTTTTCATTTTTTGTAAGGGGGTAGCTCGGTTATTTTTGAAATTCCGATTTTGGTCAAAAATGCTCATTTTTTCGTGGTTTTTTAGTCGTAGTTTAGCCAAATCAAGGCGTACACCTAAAAGACCGACAGTTTTGAGCAGCTTGCTTCAATTGCTATCGATCCCCATCATTTTAAGAAAGATTTATTTTTTGACAAATTTTTTCATTTTTTGTAAGGGGGTAGCTCGGTTATTTTTGAAATTCAGATTTTGGTCAAAAAATCTAATTTTTTAGTGGTTTTTCGGTCGTGGTTTAGCCAAATAAAGGCGTACACCTAAAGGACCGACAGTTTTGAGCAGCTTGCTTCAATTGCTATCGATCCCCATCACTTTAAGGAAGATTTATTTTTTGACAAATTTTTTCATTTTTTGTAAGGGGGTAGCTCGGTTATTTTTGGGATTCAGATTTTGGTCCAAAAATCTCATTTTTTCGTGGTTTTTTAGTCGTAGTTTAGCCAAATCAAGGCGTACACCTAAAAGACCGATAGTTTTGAGCAGCTTGCTTCAATTGCTATCGATCCCCATCACTTTAAGGAAGATTTATTTTTTGACAAATTTTTTCATTTTTTGTAAGGGGGTAGCTCGGTTATTTTTGAAATTCAGATTTTGGTCAAAAATGCTCATTTTTTCGTGGTTTTTTAGTTGTAGTTTAGCCAAATCAAGGCGTACACCTAGAAGACCGACAGTTTTGAGCAGTTTGCTTCAATTGCTATCGATCCCCATCATTTTAAGGAAGATTTATTTTTTGACAAATTTTTTCATTTTTTGTAAGGGGGTAGCTTGGTTATTTTTGAAATTCAGATTTTGGTCAAAAATGCTCATTTTTTCGTGGTTTTTTAGTCGTAGTTTAGCCAAATCAAGGCGTACACCTAAAAGACCGACAGTTTTGAGCAGCTTGCTTCAATTGCTATCGATCCCCATCATTTTAAGAAAGATTTATTTTTTGACAAATTTTTTCATTTTTTGTAAGGGGGTAGCTCGGTTATTTTTGAAATTCAGATTTTGGTCAAAAAATCTCATTTTTTAGTGGTTTTTCGGTCGTGGTTTAGCCAAATAAAGGCGTACACCTAAAGGACCGACAGTTTTGAGCAGCTTGCTTCAATTGCTATCGATCCCCATCACTTTAAGGAAGATTTATTTTTTGACAAATTTTTTCATTTTTTGTAGGGGGTAGCTCGGTTATTTTTGGGATTCAGATTTTGGTCCAAAAATCTCATTTTTTCGTGGTTTTTTAGTCGTAGTTTAGCCAAATCAAGGCGTACACCTAAAAGACCGATAGTTTTGAGCAGCTTGCTTCAATTGCTATCGATCCCCATCATTTTAAGGAAGATTTATTTTTTGACAAATTTTTTCATTTTTTGTAAGGGGGTAGCTCGGTTATTTTTGAAATTCAGATTTTGGTCAAAAATGCTCATTTTTTCGTGGTTTTTTAGTCGTAGTTTAGCCAAATAAAGGCGTACACCTAAAGGTCCGACAGTTTTGAGCAGCTTGCTTCAATTGCTATCGATCCCCATCACTTTAAGGAAGATTTATTTTTTGACAAATTTTTTCATTTTTTGTAAGGGGGTAGCTCGGTTATTTTTGAAATTCAGATTTTGGTCAAAAATGCTCATTTTTTAGTGGTTTTTTAGTTGTAGTTTAGCCAAATCAAGGCGTACACCTAGAAGACCGACAGTTTTGAGCAGTTTGCTTCAATTGCTATCGATCCCCATCATTTTAAGGAAGATTTATTTTTTGACAAATTTTTTCATTTTTTGTAAGGGGGTAGCTCGGTTATTTTTGAAATTCAGATTTTGGTCAAAAATGCTCATTTTTTCGTGGTTTTTTAGTCGTAGTTTAGCCAAATCAAGGCGTACACCTAAAAGACCGACAGTTTTGAGCAGCTTGCTTCAATTGCTATCGATCCCCATCATTTTAAGAAAGATTTATTTTTTGACAAATTTTTTCATTTTTTGTAAGGGGTAGCTCGGTTATTTTTGAAATTCAGATTTTGGTCAAAAAATCTCATTTTTTAGTGGTTTTTCGGTCGTGGTTTAGCCAAATAAAGGCGTACACCTAAAGGACCGACAGTTTTGAGCAGCTTGCTTCAATTGCTATCGATCCCCATCACTTTAAGGAAGATTTATTTTTTGACAAATTTTTTCATTTTTTGTAAGGGGGTAGCTCGGTTATTTTTGGGATTCAGATTTTGGTCCAAAAATCTCATTTTTTCGTGGTTTTTTAGTCGTAGTTTAGCCAAATCAAGGCGTACACCTAAAAGACCGATAGTTTTGAGCAGCTTGCTTCAATTGCTATCGATCCCCATCACTTTAAGGAAGATTTATTTTTTGACAAATTTTTTCATTTTTTGTAAGGGGGTAGCTCGGTTATTTTTGAAATTCAGATTTTGGTCAAAAATGCTCATTTTTTCGTGGTTTTTTAGTTGTAGTTTAGCCAAATCAAGGCGTACACCTAGAAGACCGACAGTTTTGAGCAGTTTGCTTCAATTGCTATCGATCCCCATCATTTTAAGGAAGATTTATTTTTTGACAAATTTTTTCATTTTTTGTAAGGGGGTAGCTCGGTTATTTTTGAAATTCAGATTTTGGTCAAAAATGCTCATTTTTTCGTGGTTTTTTAGTTGTAGTTTAGCCAAATCAAGGCGTACACCTAAAAGACCGACAGTTTTGAGCAGTTTGCTTCAATTGCTATCGATCCCCATCATTTTAAGGAAGATTTATTTTTTGACAAATTTTTTCATTTTTTGTAAGGGGGTAGGTCGGTTATTTTTGGGATTCAGTTTTTGGTCTAAAAATCTCATTTTTTAGTGGTTTTTCGGTCGTGGTTTAGCCAAATAAAGGCGTACACCTAAAGGTCCGACAGTTTTGAGCAGCTTGCTTCAATTGCTATCGATCCCCATCATTTTAAGGAAGATTTATTTTTTGACAAATTTTTTCATTTTTTGTAAGGGGGTAGCTCGGTTATTTTTGAAATTCAGATTTTGGTCAAAAATGCTCATTTTTTCGTGGTTTTTTAGTTGTAGTTTAGCCAAATCAAGGCGTACACCTAAAAGACCGACAGTTTTGAGCAGTTTTCTTCAATTGCTATCGATCCCCATCATTTTAAGAAAGATTAATTTTTTGACAAATTTTTTCATTTTTTGTAAGGGGGTAGGTCGGTTATTTTTGGGATTCAGTTTTTGGTCCAAAAATCTAATTTTTTAGTGGTTTTTCGGTCGTGGTTTAGCCAAATAAAGGCGTACACCTAAAGGTCCGACAGTTTTGAGCAGCTTGCTTCAATTGCTATCGATCCCCATCACTTTAAGGAAGATTTATTTTTTGACAAATTTTTTCATTTTTTGTAAGGGGGTAGCTCGGTTATTTTTGGGATTCAGATTTTGGTCCAAAAATCTAATTTTTTCGTGGTTTTTTAGTCGTAGTTTAGCCAAATCAAGGCGTACACCTAAAAGACCGATAGTTTTGAGCAGCTTGCTTCAATTGCTATCGATCCCCATCATTTTAAGGAAGATTTATTTTTTGACAAATTTTTTCATTTTTTGTAAGGGGGTAGCTCGGTTATTTTTGAAATTCAGATTTTGGTCAAAAATGCTCATTTTTTCGTGGTTTTTTAGTCGTAGTTTAGCCAAATCAAGGCGTACACCTAAAAGACCGACAGTTTTGAGCAGCTTGCTTCAATTGCTATCGATCCCCATCATTTTAAGAAAGATTTAT